AAGATATTTTCATGGGAAAACTCAGTTTTCTTGAAGTAAATGCAAATGTATCCATTCTCTCGTTTCTCTCTTAGCTACTCTCACCATCATTATAAATGATTTTCTTTTTAGAAATGCAAATGTTTTCAAGCTACAAATTTTTCAGATAAGTAGTGTTTCCAGGGCCTGTGTGTGTTACCTGGGGCACTTTATTCTTCACCTTCAATCTTGCTAATTTTCCAGCCCAGTTTTCTCTTGCTGAGTACTAATACATGATGACAGATCATATAACTACTATAAATGTTGTGAATTAATCTTGAGTGATGCCATGTAATTTATGCTTACTCTTGACTGGAAGCACTTTACCTCTCTCTCATTCTCTCAAGAGGAAAAGCACTAAAAATAGGACTCATCAATTACTTGCCACTTCCAATGGGGAGTTGTAAACCAACTTGGCAAATAATTATGAAGATTCTCAGATTTGCTAACCTACCATAATGAAGGATAGAGAGAGGGAAGCTACATCTTTTTGTTGAGTAGTACTCAGTTAGAACTATTTCATTTAGTCTCTAAAATCTTGGGACTTAAGCACTGTTAATACCATTTTACAGAAGAAAATTGTGAGGCTGACAGAGGTTTAAAAACTTGCTCTGGCCTGTGAAATATAATGGGTGCCCCTGCCAAATTTAAAAACTCTCAATTCTGACAGTGAAGTCTGTGATGTTTCGCCTTTCCATGATGCCAGATATCCATGGCAAATCTTTAGAAGTATAGACTCAGGATTTTAAGTTCAGTGTAGATCCTATTCAATTTGATGCTCCAAAGTACAAAAGTAAAGTTTGGAGGGTAAGAGGCTTAGTTATAGGATTGATTCAGTGACTAAGTGGATGACTGCAGAATTTCTAATCACTCTAAGAATGATAAGGCCATAGGTTTATTCATAGGATTGCCAAACGCCTAAAAGGAATCCATTCCTGTACTTGATTTTATTTGATGAAACTGCCCATTACTTTAGCTCTATTTTTTGTATCGTTTACTTCCCCTTCATCTTGTTCTTCCTAATTAGTTTTGCTAAATTTAATCTAATCCTCTCATGGCCATGATATTCAGCAATATATGGATTCGTAATTCTGTGTCTGAAATTGAGTTAATCACCAAAGTATATGAACCCCTGCTATCTTTAACTTTAGCAGCTTGGATTATTGTTTCTTAGAGGTTCTTAAATTTTATTTTACTGGAACTATGCCTTTCAGTATGGAATTCTGTAAGATACGGTACACATTGTGGTGTAATGTCATTTAATAGAGCAAAAGTGATTAGAAATGAGTTTCCTTTTTTATGACCCCCTCCTCTATTTTTTTTTCTTATTTGTAGCCCAGAATCTCAAGGAAAGATA